AGACACTACCTGCATTATTATTAATTTCAAAAGTAAATCTTTCTCAAACCCAATTTATTTTCAAATCAAACTTTGTTCGTTTCAATAGATTTCTGAGACCTACAGTGGTCAATCTCATCTTCGCATTTATGATTATCTAATATCGATGTGTTTTCGTCCTGTATTACGCACCAGGTCAGAATTCTCCTACTGAAGCAGAATTTTCTGCTGTGTTTGCATCAAATATTGCTAACATTACAGCCATGCTAATTGGGTCATGAATGAAATAGACATACATCTATTTCTCCTATCTTAATTGGTCTCCACACAAAGCAACATGGCTCATGAATGACCAAATAATGAGATACAAACTACAATCACCAACGGGAAGTGGTTTTTTGTTTCAATCCTACATTTGTTACTTTGGTTTTCCGTTCACCTGACCCTGTTCTTTTAGAGCCTCGTTCATTTATTCTCTCTTCCAACTGCAAGCGGTCAGGCACCTAAACCAACGGACCGCACCCAATAGCTGTGCGACACAATTAGCCTCTATGTGTCTTTCTTTTATTCCGACTTGCAGCATAACACAGACCCGAAATAACCTAGTTCTAGTCTGAACAGTCACACATACACACACACACACACACACACACACACACATCTCTACGCACACAATACGTTCACAGATTAGAGACTTCATCTATCCCTTTATACTGTTATCACACTAAGTGCCATTAGGTTCAATCTGGGCTGAAAATCCGTTTGCATTCGCATACCAAAACACGGTTCCACTTTTCTTCAATGCGCGATGAATCATTTTTGGTAATCCGATTTCCATTGGACGCACAAAATCATACTCACTTGAGGAGCAGATGGGAATAGTTCCCGAACGACCGCCGGTACTAGAATAATCCATTCGATAGGACAAACCATGAGCTGTACGCCGGTCCCGACGCGTGTCTCTCGATGGAGCTAGTCAAGTATAATTGAATAAGGGGATAGGAACGACCGATAAGAACAAGCTATGGGGAAAAAGAAATATTCGCGTATGAAGGAAAATAAATGGTATTCTTTCTATGTTTATATTTTTCGTGATTAGCGGTTGCTCGGGGTGCGTGGCATGAGTGAACTAACAGGGACTGTTTCTGGCCAGACTATTAGGCATCGCTTAATCCTTGGTTGGCGATTATTTGACACCAGGAATTTGACACACTGTTGGGCCTAATTCGATCAACATCAGCTCCAATGATTAGAATACACACTGCATATACCTGCCGACTACCTTCTGTACTCCGGTACATTTCGTTGTCTTGGTTAGAAGCAACGTCTCGCTAGTCAGTTAATGTACTGGCAAACGGTTATAAGGAAGGTAAACGGAAGATTTGATCAGTAACAGGTGCTTTCAAACGGCACAGTTGGAGCCTGAAGGACAATAAATATCGGGCGTGACCATGCTTTAAGGGGTTCAGAGTTATAATCAGAACAGTGGCAGGAATAGTGTATAAAAAGCTTATGGAGAACTACTGCAATTTACCTTCAACGAGCAAACAATGCGAAAAAACCCCTTTTTCCCTAAACAATTACATTGAACAAACATTTTTACCTTTTTGTTCCACCAGGTAAAGTGATGGTGTGTTGCTTATTTCACGACGGTGGTAAAAATATGCAAATATATGTTGTCAGAAAGCATGTGATGTTAAATCGATCAACCAGAGCGAAGCAATCTATTAGCACCATTGAGCATCGATGCTGAACCCGAAGGTCGCCAAGGACAACAGCAGACGTTTTATCAGGAGGTGCGTTTTGAAGCAGTGAGTTGCCTTCCGAGAGAGCACGAGTTCATAACACACATCCAACAATACTTGATTCCACTAAAACCCGAGCAACGAGTGCACCGTCCCAAAGATTGTTAACAATACCACAGTGTTCGGCAGATTGCGGTCGATAAAAATGCTCGCCAGTACCACCACCCCGGTCCGGTAAACGCGAGCCGATCGTGGATGGTCTAAGAAACATACCCCGGGGAGAAGGAACTTTTTCATTAGGCCTAGGACCGTTCCGAACAATTTTAAATCAGAGCGAGCACGAGAGCGATAAAAAAGCGTCTTCTATTCCGCTGGCAGGCACCAATTATCATAACTAATGAGGTTGTGAGACCAGTCTACTTCTTGCGGATAAATAATCACAAATAATACAACTAAAAAGTGACCAAAGATCGGTGCACACACACTCACACAGAGCACAAAATGTTCTAATTGTCATTTCCTCCTCATGCTCCGCTCCTTTCATTTTATTTAGTATTTGAGAAATAAGCGCTCATGAAATCTGATAAGGCAACAAACTCCCGGGAGAACAGCGATCGGAAGGCATTACGGGCTCTGGGGTCACAGGTTCCAACAAGCGAAAAAAGAAGCTCCTGTTTCAGCACGTTTGTTCTTCCGATTCGTGTCAGC